TGGCGTTGCGCTTTCGCGCGGGGCGCACGCGGGGCACGCTGGCCCGACTGCTCCAGTGTGGACTTGTTAGCGGCGACGGCGGCCCGGCTGAGACGCTGGCCCCGCGGGCAGGGCTCGCTGGCAAACTTCGAGGCGAGGAGGTGGTCGTCCTCGACGCCTTCGTGTGCCGCGGCCGCCTTCGGTGCGACGTGGCCCCCGTAGTCCAAGGCTCTGGGGCGGGCGCCGCTGGCGGCGCGCACGTGCTCAGGACGAGTTTGCGGCGTGGTTTGACCACGCGTGCCGGTTCTGATCTCACGGACGTGCAGCATCGGTGGCGCTGCCGGTCGATCGTCCGCGGTGTTCCATGGATGGCGCGCGTGCCCGAGGGCGTGTCGGATGGCCCGCGGCGCCAGTCCTCGTGATCCCGAAGGCCGCCGACGATCGCGCCCGGCAATTCCGGCACTGGGTCGCGCGTCAGCAGGGGGGGGCCGCGCTGCAGCCGAGCGGGGAATGCAGGCGCGGGAGCTACGTTTGGGACTTCCCGTGGCCAGTGCAGCTGGACCGTCAGAGGTGGGTATGCTTCACGTGCATGGGCTGTCCACGAACATGGGCATTGCCCGCAGGCGTCGTACGGCGGGCGCGGCGACGACGTCGGGCATCGCTGTTACTTCCCAGTCGCCGACGAGGACGTGGTGCGCGTCGCCCCTGACGCGATCGTCATCCGCGGCAACGCGGCGGAGGGCGGGCAGAAGGAGGGCCGCTGTTACGTGACTGGGAGGTTCCTGGCGAGATTCCTCTTCTGCCTGAATGACACGCTGAACTTCCGCGAGCGCCGTCGGCAGCTGCTCGGGGAGTACGTCGCCGTCGCGCGCGGCGCGGAGGCGGGCTTGAGCGACGCCGGCGCGCGGGCAGTCCTCTTCAACATCGCTTTCGCCCTCCCCAAGCGCAAGATGTTGGGCATGATCGCCCCGCGCGCCTTCTCCGCCCCGATTTCGCGGAGAGTGTCTGAGATGCGGCGCCTGCAGAGTCTCTACAACGGTTCCGGGCTGCGCGTGGACGGCAACTTCAAGCTGGCGAAGAAGATTTGGAGAGGTGCCGGCAAGTCCCGCCAGAAGCCCTTCAGTTGCGTGCTCGGCATCTGCGGGACGGACGGATCGCCCCTGCTGCCTGTCGCCCCCGTCCGCGGGGAGGCCTGGATGGACATCAAGCGCGTGCTGCAGCCTCTGCTCGCGGACATCGTCTCTGCTCGCCAGGCCGCCGGCATGTCCTTGGAGGACGCGTGCCCTGCGTTCGTCAGCACCGACTCCTACAACAAGCACTTCAAGAAGTACGCCGACGTGGTGAATGAGGCGTGCCAGCTTGCCCGGGTGCGGACGGCTGGCGCCACTCCGCGCGGCCCACTCGCCGCGCGCTGCATAGTCGCGCCTTCCGTCGGCGTGCTCGTGGCAGGCGAGCCGTTCCACGACGTCCTCAACGCGAGGAGGTGCGTGGAACGACAGCTCGGATCCAGTCGGCTTCGCCGCATCCGCCGCGCCTAGATCTCAGCTGGCCCATCGAACTGCCGGGCGCCAGAGCCCAGCCAGCACCGGTTCATTTGTTCGGTTTTCCCCGCAGGGGCGACGGGGCATGACGTGACGAGGAGCGCGGCCGCGCGCCTTGACGGGCGCGGAGAGCGACGGCTCCGGCGGACTTCTGCCACGACCACGCTGACCTGATCGGCCGGCTGAACGCGCCCCGCGGCCCACCCGAGGAACCGCAAGGCGCGCCTCCCGTGCCGGCGCTTGGAGAGCGCGGGCGCGACCTCCTGCGGACTGCTGTGGCTCAGTCTGCCGCGTCCTTCCAGGAAGCGCTCGCGCAGGATCCAGACGGCGCGCGCGATTTGCGCGCGTTCCTCTCGTCGCCAGGGGTTCTCCGCGCGAAAGGCGTCTGGAAGAGCGCGTTCGGCGCGCAGCCGCCGCGCCCCGTGCTCGCGCGGGTTGCGCGTCGAGCAGGGGCCCAGCTCGACGCCGCGCACGGGTGGCATCTCGCGGCCTTCGGCCCGCCCCGCCGCCACTCTCGGGTCGCGGGCGGGGCCCTAGAGCATTTGGGAAATGTTTCGGGGGCCTTCTCGGGGACCTCTTGGCAGCTTTCCTGGAGATGCTGGGCGTCTCGTTAGAGCGATTGACCGCGCGCCACGTCGCGCCCTGGGGCGCGGCGGCGGATAACTACAGGAGCCGCAAGGCATTTAAGCGGGAAATTAAACGAATGCGACGTTGGTACAGTAGTCCCAAGCGCCTGGCGCGCCGCCGCCGCGGCATCCTGAGGGTCTGCCCAGCCTGCGCCCAGGAAGTGCGCGGCCGCAGATGCGTCTTCAATTCGAAGCTGCGGCGGCATTACAGCCGCCTTCTCAAGTCGCGACGCTTGAGCGGCTTGCTTGCGTGGCAAGAGTGCGCCGAAGGCTTGCGGGCCGCCGGCGTGGGCCCTCGATCCGGCACCGTCCCAGTCGAACAGTCTTGGGCCATCACTGCTTCGCACTGGCCATCCGAGACTAAGACTGCAGGAGAGAAAGTTTTCAAGTTTTTTGCAGACTTGTCATTCCTGCGGTTTTTGTACATGCACTTCCACAGTTCGGCGTTGCCCGCGTGGGTCGACGATGGCGTCATGTATTTCCAGCAGAGCGAACGCGCCCGTCTCATGCTCGAGCCCGAGACAGCTCTGCGGCTGGAGCAAGAGTTGGCGGACGCCGCTCGCCAGAGTTCGCAGTGAGCTGCATGCAGGTTGGCGCAATGCCATTGTTAATTTTTTGCAGGGGCGAGGGCGACACTGCCCTACCTCCCGTGGTTGGGCCAGCCGCTAACTCTTGTATTGCCTTCGGCCCATTCCACCACCGTGCCTGGGTTCGTGGTCATGAGCTTCTTGGATGTTCGTCGAGATGTCGCGGGAGACCTCTCGAAAACCTTTTGGAGGCAGTTCAATGTCTCTTAGGGTCGTCCCGGGGCTTCCAGGGTGGCTCGGGCGCTTCTTGGAGCCTCCCGGTGGCATCTTGGGGCGGAAGGCTCGAGCTGTCGGTTCGGGGGTATTAGGCAGGAGACCTGGGGGCATTCCAACTTGCGCCTCAGAGCGCGGTGGCGGATTCGGCCGCCCTGTTCGTCTTCCTCTCCTCCATTCCTCCTCGCCCATCGGCCGCCGCGTCAGCGATCTACGTGCCAGGCTACGGAAAACGCACCCGTCATCTCAAGTTTGCCAAGCCCCCCCATCGATTGCCTTTTTCCCCCTCGTTCTGCCGCCCGCGCTCGGAGAGAGCAGGATGGGGCAGGGATGCCGAGACGATGAGGGAGAGGAGGAACACGAGAAGGAGCGTGTGGAGGAGGAATCTGCCCCGCCCGGGCAGGCAATATCGCGTTGCGTTGCCCCCACCGCGGCGAGTCGGAGGTCCTTCTGGTTTGCCCGTTTCTGGCGGCCCTGGGGCCCGACGGCGGCCCCCTAGGGCCCGAAATCTCCCCGGAAACGTCGAGCAAAAACGTGCCGCCGCCGCCGCCGAAGACGTCGTTGCTGCCGCCGCCGCCGCCGCCGCCGTCGTCGTCGTCGTCGTCGTCGTCGTCGTCGTAGTATGTCGTCGATCCCCGACCTTCAAGGATTCTTGCTCGTTTTAGGCCTCTGGGAGCCGCTTTCGGGGCCTGGGACCGTCAAAAACGGATCCAGGACGAAAAACTATCCCGGGTTGTCGTCGTCGTCGCGACTTGTCCAAATCTTTCGCCCCCCCTTTCGCGCCCCGGGGCGCCCTCGCCGCCACGGCTGGAGAGCGACTAGAGTCTGGCCAGAGCGCGCCCCATCGACAGGTCCACGGGCCGATTTCGCATGGAAGCTCGAGGCTCAAGGATCGAGATCGGGAAACGAGGATTTGGGTTCGTCTGGGGGGGCTGGACTGGAAGGACCCCACGAATGCACGTCAGGGCGGGTCGGCAGGGGGGTCCGCCAACTCCTTGTTGATGGAAGGGCTTGGGCGGTCAACTCGGACACTCCGCGCCGATCGCAAGCTTGAACGGCAAATCAGCGCGTTGGCGCCGAAGCGCATTTAGCATGCAGCTCCCAAAACGCCAGAATCACGCACGATCCACGGCGGCGCAAGGGCAGGGGGAGGAGGGGGGCGAGAGGGAGGGTGAGGAATGTAAGGGTGAGGATAAAGGGGGCGAGGAGGGGACGGTAGGGGATGCGAGGGAGGTGGAGGGGAACGAGGAGGCAAGGGAAGATAGGGACTTGGGAGGACATATGGGGGGACGGGGGACAATCGTTATAAACCGCAATACAAGAACCAGAACATAAAAAACTATAAATGAACAGTAGAAAAAAAGAATCCCACCCCCAAAAAGATACTAATAAGAATACAAAAATAAAACAAAAACAGGAAAGGTAGGAGGGGGAGGTGGAGGAGGAGGACGGGAGGTCGAGGACGAGTGATGAGACAAAATGGCTGGCAACATCAGTGGCGCACGAGTGGTACGCAGGTCAAAGCACATGTGTTTACGCGTGTGTGTGAGAGGATCCTTATATGCCAACGGTATTGAATGCAACGGCACGTGAAGCAATGGCCACGCCGACCGTCGGAGTATCGCGCCGCATCGCCGATGCATCGCCGATGCAGCTCGATGTGGAGCCCGATGTGCCGTACGTCGGAGGTCGGAGTAGACGGTGCGCTCGCTGCATCGCGCGATACTCCGACGGTCGGAGTAGACGGGGTCGATATTCCGACCGCCCGACGCATGGCGCGCCCCCAACACCCTCAACACCACTTTCTCGTTGCCTCGACGTCGGCTCGCACTCTGAGAGCATCCAGCCGAGATTAGAATCCAAACCTAAACTGCATTGCGGCACCCTAGCTAAATACAGCCAGCCCAATGCAGACCAGCGGCCCAGAGTGTTTGCACAAGCATGCGTGTCACGATATATGCAATATGCTGATCCCTTATGTGTCTATGTCTGCTTAATGCTGCATTACGTTTGCATGCTATGCTAGTGCCTGCTGCGCTTGAAACTCCTGAGGCTCAGGAGCGCTTGGCGCGCTTGAAACCCTTGGCGGGGCGATCTGAAACGCTAGGGGCCTTGGCCTTCACGTGCTGACTGCCATCGGCTGAACTCGGGGCAGGCGGCTTCTTTGGGGTCGGAGTGTGAACAGACCCGTCCGCTAAGCTTTTCTTGGCTGGCGTGAGGTGGGCTCCGCCCCCAGACGCGCTTGCGCCAGGGGCCAACGCCTCGCCAGCCTGTGCTGGCAAAGGCTGGGCTGGAAGTGCGTGCGCCTGCAGGTCCTTGAACAACTGCCAGAAGCACTGCGGTACCTTGGGGTAGCGACACTCGTTCTCCGTCAAGAACTTCGTCGCTTTCGTCGGCCCCTCAGGGCGATGACGATACGCAGTCAACAGGTCGACGCCCCTGATGACCACGCTTGCTTCCGCAGCGTCCTTCAGCAACTGGAGTGCCACGTTCACTGACTCGGACGTCGTCGGGTGGTCCTGCACGCGGGGGTTGATGGACAGCACGGCTGCTGACGTGGAGAAGGCCTTGATGCAGGTGTGGAGTGAGTTGTGGCGGTTGATCACGACGTCCAGCTTGTTCTTGAGCATCGCCATTGCCATCGTCTCGTTGAACACGTCGTCGACGAAACATGCTGTCCAAGTAGGGGTGACCTTTGCCGTCGCCTGTCCCTCGTTGGTCAAGACCTCGGCCATGCCCAGCAAGAGCATGCTCTCGTAACGCCCGCTGACTCTTGCCGCCAACAAGCACCAGTGACGCATGGTGTGGATCGACTCGCGGAGCTGCCAGCCTGTCTTCTCGAACTCCATGGCCCTGGGGTCGTTGGCCATGCTGTCCAGCTTCTGTCGCGCACCGTGGAGGATCTGCAATATGAAGGTGGCCGTCCCGCAGAGGTACCCTTGACTCATGAACTGCTTATCCTTGGAGCGAGCCTTCCTGCCTATAGCCACCTCGGCTGAGGAAATGACTGCGACCACGTCGGCGACAGCGCACTTGAGCTCCATAGCGAACATGCACAGGTCGATGCTGGGCTCCGGTGCATCCACAGTTGAGTAGAACATGCCAGGGACGTCGATCTCCGTCAGCATGACTGCTCTGATGAAGCATCGCAGGTGCTCGAGAGCTCGGTTATGAGGGAGAAGCTCCAACACCTTGGGATCCCCTTTGCTTCCAGAAACATCAATGGGCGCAAGCTTCGCAACATTGTCGGCATCGCCCTTAGGCAACAAGTGAGGATACAGGGCCGAGTCGTCGCACTCCTTTAAGACGTCGGCGTGAACGCTCCCCAGGAGCACCTCCACGTCAGAAATCGTAGAACTCTTATCTACCAAGAACGCTGTAGCCTTGAAGTCGTACGTGCGCTGGCCGACATGCTCAGCAAACGCCGCGAACAACGCTGCGATGTCATCTCCGACCTCGGGGAGATCGAGGGTGGATGAGGTCAGCACGGTGAAGGGCGTGACTGAGGTGTGCTCGTGGTGGACCCTGCTGAAGTTGCAGAGGGTCTGCTCGTCGGGCTTGGTGCTGCTCTTTGAAAGTGACTCGCCGTCGAGCCACCAGTCTGGGTCGGCAAGCAAGTGAAGGCTCTCAAGGTATATGATAATCTTGTCGATGACCGCAACGTTGTGGTTGAAATGTCTCAGGACAGTGTCGCCCGACGCGTCCTTGTCGAAGTGATCGTGCCAAGAGCCGCCCACTCTGGTGGCCGCGAGCTTGCACAGCTTCTGGGCGCCCAGCACAGACTTCAGCATCAGCTCAACGAAGGCTCTCAAGCGCGGGCGCATCGCTTTCACAGTGGCGTCGATCTCACGGATGTGAGCGAAGAGGCGGACTGGCGACGAGAACGGCATTGTCGGCTGCACATTGCCGTCGCCGCCAGGCTGGGTCGACTCGCACTCGGCTTTGACGACCTCTGTCTGGATGGGGCCTGAACTGTCGCCGCCTGCGGCAGCGCACGAATCTGCCATGCCCGCCTGTGAAGCTTGCTCCAGGAGATGGCCGATCCAACCTCTGACGGTATCTATGTAGACGAAGTTCCCTGCGTGCAACAGGACGTACATGTTTGATACAGTATTCGCCTGTGGCCCAGACTCACACAGCCACTTCATTTACACAAAGAACAGAGGGAGTTGGGGAGGCCGAGGAGGGGGGCCAGCATCAGCACGAGCAGCACGACGACGACAGCTGGGGGACGGCGACGACTACGAGAGCGAGCACGACCAACAACGACAGCATGCGCAGCACGAGCAGCGCACTCAACAAACGTGTTGAGGGACGTCGCGTTTGGGTTTGCACCCCTCCCTCCATCCTCTCCCATCCCCCCCCCCCCCCCTGGCGAGTTTCCGAAGGCAGGGCGGGCCCAATTAAAAAGGCAAGCTAGCGTGGCGGTCGGTTTCGGAGTCGAGGCGGGGGTGAGGAGGAGGAGGAGTTAGATGAGGGAGGATAGGGATGTGGAAGTGGCTGTGGATATCAGTCGTGCCCAGCGCTCGCCAGAGTCTCGGCGTGCTGCTCCAAGGCGCTCGTGGACCAGCGCTGGAGGGCCTGAGTGCAAGCAACTCTCATCACCATGCACGCCTCGAAATACTTCCCGAACGCATCGCAGGTCATCGGCTTGCCGCCATTCCCCGCCTTCAGCCAAGAGGTTGCGTTCTCGAAGGCTGGATCGAGCAAGTCCTCGAAGCGGCCGACGCTGAACTCGAACCCGCTGCTCGCAGCCTCATCCTCGATGCCGACCTTGGCGTGGCTGAGAGCCCGTTTCATGAACGCCATGCCTGCAGGGTGGACCGCCATTGCTTTTGCCATCTCTGGTGATGGGGCATCCTCCTTCGCTGTTTTTTTTTTTTTATTTTTTTTTTTTTTATTTTTTTTTTTTTTTTTTTTTGTTTTTTTTTTTTTTTTTTTTTTTTTTTTTTTTTTTTTTTTTTTTTTTTTGTTTTTTATTTTTTTTTTGTTTTTTTTGTTTTTTTTTTTTTTTTTTTTTTTTTTTTTTTTTTTTTTTTTTTTTTTTTTTTGTTTTTTTTTTTTTTTTTTTTTTTTTTTTTTTTGTTTTTTTTTTTTTTTTTTGTTTTTTATTTTTTTTTTTTTTTTTTTTTTTTTTTTTTTTTATTTTTTTTTTTTTTTTTTTTTTTTTTTTTTTTTTTTTGTTTTCTTTCTTTGTTCTTTTTCTTGTTTTTTTTTTTTTTTTTGTTGCCCTTTTTTTTTTTTTTTTTTGTTTTGTTTTTATTTTTTGTTTATTTTTGTTTTTTTTGTTTTTTTTGTTTTTTTGTGTGTTTTTTTTGTGTGGTTTTTGTCCGAGACATTCACTGTACCTTCGTGGCCCACCTCGCACTGTCGACGCTGGGCCTCTCACTCTCGTCCGACTTCGCGCACAGCGCGATCGTCGCGAACGCGTCGAGAAGCTGGCCCACCTTATTGCTGAGGCAGCCGTTGTGTTTGGTAAGCCACGCCTGGCGCGTTCTTTCCATGAGCTCATGGCAATGCTGCACCGCCTTCTGGTCATTCACGATGTCGGGGCTCAAGGTGAAGATGTACTTCGCCATGGAATCGCCCACCAGCTTCTCGAACTGCTCGACGGGATGGACCAATACACGCTTGGCGATCACGTCTTTCGGCATGGTGAACTGCATGCGCCTCTTCGAAGGTGATGCTTCGCCCTCTGCTGTGCCATCGGCGGCGTCCTTATCCTTGACCTTCGCGCCGTCGGTGGTCTTGGTCATCGCCCCCGTCAATTTGCCAGCATTCTCGGTTACGATCTTGTGACACTCAGTGAGACGGTCGAAGTTCAGCGAATTGATTGCCTCGTCAATGCCCATGCCGTTGGCCAAATCCTTGTAGAACTGCGCGTAGATAAGGATCATCTCCAAGTCGGCACCCACAGACTTCTTCTGGAAACGAAGGAACGGTTTCAACTTGCAAACTGCATCAAGCACATGGACCAAGGACGCATCGTTGTTCTCGTCGTGCCACGTCTTGAAGAGCTTGAACAGGATGATCGTTGTCTCCACGCGCATCGAAAGCTGTTTGAATGAAGTCTTTATGTCAACGTTCGCTTGCTGGGAGATCTCACTGCTGTGCTGGTTCAAACGGCGCTCGAGTGCTTGTACGGTCTGTATCCTGCAGTCTGGTAGCCAGCCCAGGTGCGACAGAGCCTCAACGTACTGGTTGATTGTCCCACGAATCCTCCCGAAGCTGATGTACACTTGGCCCTTGGGCAAGCGCTCAGTCAAGGAAAACTTGTTCAATGAGTCTGAGTCGCCGTCGTCCTCGGAGTCCACGTCAATGCCGACGGCCGCACACGTGCCTTCACTCGCACCAGTCTCACAAGCCGCTGAAGCCACGGCAGGCGCCGCCACCGACAAGCCGCTTCGGCGGAACCCGAACTCCTGCTTGACACGCTGAGGTTGTGCAAGTGCATCCTCCTCATGCTTGATCTCGCCAGCTGTGCCAGAGCCGCTGCCATCTACAGGCTTGTCTCTCGCTCCTCCTGACTCCGATGCTGGATTGTCTGTGCGCGTGCAGCTCTCACCGCCCTCTGGTAAAGCAGAAACTTGGATCTCGCCAGCCTCTTGGTACCGTTTGCTCGCAATCTCAGCCCACTCGATGGCCAACTCGTGCAATGTCACCGTGCCGTCGGCCGACCCATGGCGAAGCACCCTGTAGCAGTGTATTAAAAATGGCCATTGATTGGCGTCGCTGTCGTTGGGGAACTCCACCGTGCCGGGTGGTCCGTCCAGCTTCTCAGACACCAACTCCTTCAAGTCCAGGCATTGCTGGCACGTGCTGTGGTCTGTGGAAGAAGGGTGAACACCATGTCCGCCAGGCGACCGGGGGAGCCCACTCTGCCCAGCGAAGTCATCGAAACACTTGGCGCAACGCGCAGGGTCTGGCTCGAACAGGCCGACTTGAAAAGAACTCGGGCCTTCGCCATTGGGTTTGCTGGCGGCCTGTTGGCTGCCCTCGCACGAGCCGTCTTCGAACAACTCCCGTTCCAGCTGCTCGTGCTCTTCCTTCGTCGTGATTGCCGCCGCCATCAAGACAATGCGATAGCTGGTGCAAGAGGCTGCGTGCACTGGTATTCGTTGCCAACCCGCAAGATGACTATGGGCACGCCACCATACTAGGAGGCTGTGGCATCGCCCAGGTTGGGCCAAAATGGCTATGGAGATACGGGGGGGAAGGAGGAGGTCGTGGGAGAACGTGCCCATTCGGCCTCAATTTGTTTTCCTGAGGTGAGGGCGCGCCGCCTTGGGCACATGGCCCCGTTCGGCCCACCGCGTGTCTGAGCCTGCTCATCCTGGGCATTTGCGTTGTTTTTTCTGGTGGCCCCCGTGGTTTGCAACGCCCCCCTTCTGAAGTGAGACGTCGCTTCTGGGGGGGCATCGAAACTACCACCCACAACAGTCATATAACTGATCTTTTCATGGTGGGCTTGGGGGGAGAGAGACATTCGTTGTCCAGCCTCCTCAGCAGACACCTGGACCCCAAAGCTAAAATGATGCACCACAGATTTAAGCATGGGAACCCCAGAAGCTTAGAGAATGCGATCCCGCCGCCGAACACTTCCAACACTCCAAGACTCTCCAGGACCCTGCCAAGACTAGGAAAGGCGCGCGAGGACGAGGAGGATGACGAGGAGCAAACATAAATACGGGGAGCACGGATCCCAACAAGTTCTCAAACCAGTTCTTTTCATGTCTATGCCATGTTGGTTCATTCGCTCTCTCTCTCTCTCTCTCTCTATCTCCCCCTCCCTCCCTCTCTCTCCCATGTCCTACCTTTCTTTCTCTCCAGTCTCGCAGCGCAGGACAGCTGCGTGCTTCGTGCAGCTGGGGATGGGGAGGGGGCAAAGGAACGAGCGGGTGGCAAGTCAAGGTCTTCCAAGAGCCTTCCCCCATTAACCGCTATCACATCCAATCCTCCATTCCCATGTTTGCTGCCGCCCCTTCCCCCACGCCTGCCCCTACCCTCCTCCCCCGCCCCTCCATTCCTTCAAGCATTCGCCCAAGGGTGCGTTTCAACAGTTTCAGGGCATCACCACGGAACCAAATATGAGACTTCCCCGCCTCGCAGATGCCCGAACGAAAACACGCAGACAAGCTCACGCAGACTTGCAAAGGCTGCGTTGGCACAACCTCGGTGCTCAGCGCACGAGTCTGGCTACAGGCAAAAATACACTGGTGCAAATCAAGCGAGCCGCAGCATACGCGCGAACAGCGTCAGCCAATCCACGCAAGGCGGACAATAAGGCTGGGCTGAACTTAATCAGATTCGGATTCAGCCATGGCTGGAGGCGCCCCCTGGCCCTTGTCAGGCAGCGCAATCGTTATCTTGGTGGAGGCCGCCCTTTTCTGCAAACTCTTGATATTCGACAACCTAACAAGACGCCTTGACAGAGCGTCGCTTTCACTCCTCAGGCGATGCAGGCGGTCCAATGTATCCCTGACAGCTGGATGGTCGACGTTCAATTTACGATGCGCGGTGGCAATGCACTTGTCGCAGGAAGCGCCCACGGATTGCTTCAACATCTTGGCGTTCACAGAATTGATGCCAATGTTGCCACTGCTGCTCGCATCGGCCATCTCTGGTTCAGGGAATGATCTGCGACAACCTCAATGCCCACAGCGACGGCGCGCACCAAGGATGCGAGGCAACAAGGGCGTGGGCGAACCGAAGATGCAAGGATGCAGTGGGAGCCTCCTGCCAGCGCCGCCGCTGTGAATGCAAGGTTGAGGGGGGCAACGCGGGATGCGCTCGCAGCGGCTAGCTTGAACCCCAACACTTGCGACATGATTGGGCTGCCTGAAAGTAGCCGAAGAAGGCATCAACACTGGAGTTGACATCGGAGAAGCAACATCGCCCCATACTCACGATATAGCAATATATGCCAGGCGTATCACAAGCCCCACTCAGAAGATGGTCTGGCATTCGTAGACGGGAACAACGTTGTGAGATCGGGGACCCAGAAAAATTAAACCTACCCGGTGTGGTCTTCGCTTTCCCGCTCCTGGCACGACGCAAAACGGTTTGCAGGCGCGGCCGCGAGCTATTCTTTTGATCACCCACAGGGGACGAAACGGCAAGGTCCATCCGAGTTTTGTGGGGCTACGGACGAGTAAATGAACCTCCGACCCGCAGAGGGCCACCGACGCGTGGATGGGGAATTGCTTAAATCCGTTTGTCGGCAACAAAAGGTAGCGCGACCCCCCAACACAACGCCGAAATAACGACAAACGGTGGCAAACCAAACGCGCGCGACACCAAAACGCAAACGCAAAAACGCAGAGTTTCCACGGCGTCATCAATGACAACCATGTATCCCCCCGCCACCACCAACCCAATCCTTATCACCACCGCCACCGTTTGTGCCCGTGCCCCAACGCCTCCCCGCCCCAATCACTCCCAAAAAATATCCCCCCACCACCAACCCAACCCCCACCCCCCAGCCACCCACCCCACCAACGCCCCGCTACCCCCACCACCATGCCCCACATCCACGCCCCCGACCACCACGCACGCTAGCCCCACCACGCCATCCCACAAACCCGCCCACCACGCCATGCATTACGCACCCTGCTCCCGCCCGCCCACCACCGCCGCCGCCACCATTGCCCGCGCGCCCTCCACGCCGCTCGCCAAACCCCGAACCACGCGGAGCCCCCCCCACCCCCCCCCACCCCCACCCCCACCACCACCGCCCCTCACCCCACCCCACCACGACAACCACACCCATCCCCATAGCCAAAACTGCGCGCGCATCCGCCGCGCCCATCAGCGCTCCTCCCCCCGTTTGTACACATCACCTCCTCATCTAAGAGACCAAAGTACCAAAGCACGCGGTCCCACGGCGCCCCACCTATATATGCGAGGCCCAAGCAACACAACGCACCCACCACGCACGCAACACGCAAGCGCACCGGAAACCGATGAACGCGCGCGCCCCACGCCACCCCACCCACCCAACCCGACCCACCCGATCGACCCAAGAGCAAGACGCGTACTTTGCGGGGCGTCAGCCGCGTGGCCAAGACCTCATCTGTGTGTCGTAAACAACCACTATGTAGCTCGTGGACTGAATCCCCGCTGGAGCGCTTTTCCCCCCCTTCTTTTTTCTCCCGCGCTTGTCCTGATAGTGGCGGGCGCTGCGGTGGCGGCGGTGGGGAGCGCGGGCGGTCGCAAGGAGAAGGAGTTGCGTGCGCGTGGGGGCGGGCGGTAAGTTGGCAAGGGCAGGTGCTTGGGAAATATGCGCAGCGGTGCAATGCTGGCGAGCGGTAATGCTGTGGGTGGTGTAAGTGCGTGGGGGAGGTGGGATCGATAGAGCGAGGGGCGAGTGGGCGAGCTGGTGAGCGACGGCTCAGGCGCGCATGGGGCGCGCGGATGGGCGTGGCAGGCGGTGGCGCGCGCGCGAAAAAGGGAGGTGAGGCGGTGGCTGTTGGGACGGGAAGTGGGAGGGGCGGGGGCGCATGCGGGAGTCTGGACAACTCGCTCAAGGAAGAAGCGACTCCCAACTCGCCTCGCATTTGCGATGTTGACGCGCGACTTGGCCTGCTGGGCTCGAAGTTGAAGTCGACTGTCGACGTCGACGGTTGACGTCGACGTGCCCTGTTGACTGGCCCACCTGCTGTTGACGCCCCTAGTTGGCTGCGCCTGTTGACGTCCAGACGCAACTTGACGCGCCCTGTCGACTGCGCCTGTTGACGTCTTGACGCGCCTAGTCGACTGCCGACGTTGACGGTTGACGTCGGCGTCGCGTGTTGGGGGTGCCAGTTGATGTGCCCCGCTGGAGTCAACTGCGCCCCCCCTCGTTCGCCGCCGCGAGTTAAGTTCGCGCGCCGATGTCGCGGACACTTGGCGCCTCCAACACGGCGCGGTGGCAGGCGCGTGGTGGCTTGTAGCACATGCGCCGTGCGTTGCTAGCCAGAGCAGTAATTCTGGCAGCCGCCGCTGTGTTTTTTTTTTTTTTTTTTTTTTTTTGTCACAGCGCGCGATCAAGTTATGACCAGCCCTGGGAAACGCGACGCCGCGGGGGTGCGTGGAATATTCGGAATGCCGCGCGGGCGACGCGCTGGCTGCGCAAGGTAAGTTCGCGTCGGTGCGGCACGTCCAGAACGCGCTCTTCTTTTGGCTCATCGGCGAACCTAAACCGCACCGACGTTGCAACGGCCATCTAGTGATCTCGGTTGCGCCTGTGAAGTGGCGAGCGATGGCGCGCGTCGCGCGCGCGTGGACGAACTCGGAGGGCTGGCGTGATCACGGTGGCGGTGTTTGGAGATGAGCGAGCGAACGTGCGTGCGCGCGAGCGAGACACGGGGGGGATGCGCGCACGCGTGCGTGCGCGTGAATGCGCCCGCGGGCAAGCGCGAGCCTTCGCGCGCGCGAGTGCGTGCGCGCGGCGGTGGCGGGCGCGCAGCGTGGGGGCGCGCGACGTTGTCGGGCGGGTGGAAGGGGCGAGCGGCGCGCGCGCGAGGCGAGCGAGCGTCGAGCGGGCGCGGGCGGGTCGGTTGGCGGGCGAGCGGCGCTGGGCGCGAGGACGTCTGCGGCGATAGCCATGCGCGAGGGGGGGGGTCCAACGTGTGTCCCTGCATTCGTTCAGCACGCATGGGGTTCCGCTTCCCAGTCGTGGCCGCGCTTGGGGGCTCGGGAGCTGTGCAAGGAGGCCTCAATGGGGGAAAGGCCACGACGTTTTGAAGGTGGATATCAGCCAGCCATGTTTTCGCCCCCGACCCCCCCCTGGCATGACGGGGCAGCACGCGCGACACCCCCTTGTTGGCCCATCCCCTCCGGCGGTTTGATGGTTTCAGTGCGAGCGGGGTGCGGCGTCGGCCCCGGTTGGCTGGCGGTGGCTCGGGATGGGAAGTGGTGATGCGCCGATGCTGGGAGGGTGGAAGCGGCGCGATCTGGCGCGACGGGCGGCGCTGGGGAAGAGGGGGGGGGCAGCGCGCAGCAGTGGCGGGCGGGCTAACTGGCGTCGGCGGCGGCGGTGGCGTGACAAGACATTTGGGGTGAGGGAATGGAGCGGCGGCGGGCAATCAAGTCGGGGCGGGGCGAGCGGGGGCGCGCGCGCGGCGGCGATGGCGGTGGAGGCGGGGAGCTTGACATGTGGATGCGTGGGTGGGGATGGAGTGAGGTGCGTGGTGATGTAGAGGGTGGTGGTCGCGGTGGAGGGGGGGGACGGGCGGAGCGGGCGGGAGGGCGGGTTGGGCGGGGCAGGGCGGCGGGCGGGGCGGGGGTTGGTGTGAGCGTGGGGTGAGGAGGGGGGGGGGGGCTTAGCTCGCGCGTGCGAGCGAGGGGGGGAGGGGGTGGAGGCGGTTGGCGTGGCGCTCGCGCGTGTGAGAGTTTTGCGCGTGAGCGTGCGCGTGTGCTTGCGTGCGTGCGCGTGAAATGCGCGCGCTGGCATTGGATCGCGCGCGTGCATGGCGTGCGCGTGGATGCGCGATGGGGGGCGAAGAGGCTGGGTGGGGGGGGGGGGCGCGTGGCGAGTTGCGCGGGCGGGCAGCGGCAGGCTGGGCGCCAACTGCGACGGCGCGCCGCGCGGGCGCGCCACGGAGCGCCACGGCAGACGGGCGCTGCAACGTCAGCGGCGGAGTCTTCTGGGTGCGCTCACGGGGCCGTTAGCCCGAATAATGCGCAGGGGGCGCGCGGCGCAAGCCGCGCGCGAGGAGATGTTGAGTTCGCGCAGCCCTAAGCCTTCAACGTAAGCGCGCAGCTTGCGGCGACCGAGACCGCGCAATTGCCGTCGATTCGGCGATGCGGGCGTTCGGGTCATGAGCGGCTGGCCCCCCGCGTGGCAGCGCAGTTGTTGCGAAAGAAGCAAGGGGGTACGCGACGTTTACGCTGCCCGCGCCCAGAGAAGCAACGGTGATTTCACGGGGGGCGGCAGTGTCCACTAGGGCAACGAAATCGCCGACGGTTGAGCGCCGGGCGATCCGCCGAGCCCCATCGGGGCGCGCCATAAGTGCCCTGTTGCCCCCTATGCGTGAAGGTCGCGGTCGACTGCGCGGCCGCGGAACACCCCGCGCGGGGCAGCCAGCACTGTGCCAGGCGGCACCAATGCCAATGACGTTACTGGCGATCCGTGCGCTAGAACTTCGCGGCCGCGTAGCCTCACTTTCCGCAGCCATATAACGTTGCGCATGGCTTGGTCTGGATCAAGTGGCTATCGTTCGCGCGCAGCGCGCGCGTGGCCGACTATCGCCCCCGACCCCCCCCCCACGCCAACCTTGAACGCGGGCGTTCGGCGGAGAGGTGGCCGATAGATAAGCGATAGCAGCGAACAGCGCGTTCACGGGGCACTCGAAGCTGCGCGTGCCGACGTGTTTCTTTTAATATCAGTTAGCTTAAGCGTCTCAGCAAGCTTGCGCGTTGACCTTGAAGGAAGGCACACCGCGACGGAATAACTTTAATTGATTGCGAACCGAGTGTCCTTTAACCGCCCCCCATCGCACCCGCCATTACCTTCTTCGCCGCGCCCAGTCGCGAAAGCAGACAGCCCAGCATTTGTCGCGACATTGGCGGGCGGCGGCAGGTCGGGGGCAGGCGGTTGGGGCAGCTGCCTCAGGGATGTATCACCTACTTGTTCGTGGGCAGGCAACGCAATAACATTGAAGGCCGAAAGCTTGGGGTGCCAAGCCAAGTTCCCACTCGTACTCAGACTCGCGCGTGCGCCGACTTGTTCATTCGCAGACTCATGCACATTCGCACTTCGCCACGCTCAGGCCTAGCTACACATGGTTGTTTTCGTTCGGCTTTACGCGCGCTCAGGCTCACCCATGCACCATGCCGCCTCAAAATTCAGACAGGATAGCACTACGGTCCACGGGCGCACAGGTGGATTCTCATACGACGTCATTCGGCAAAACTTCTCCGCCCTCTCCCCCCCCTCCTCCCTCTGGCGGCGGGGCAGGGCGGCTGTCATGGAACGGTTTGCCGCGCGCCGTACAAGGCGCATGAAGGGAGGGCGGTCGGCGACTACGACGACGAATAATGAGGCGTCGTCGTCAAGGATGTTTTCGTCGTCGTAATCGTCGTCAGCTTCGTCGGGCTCGGCGTCTTAACTATTCCCACCCCGCCTCCCCCAACCCTGGTTTGAAACGCATCGGGTGTGCGTTGAGGTCTCGTTGGGGCCCCTTCGGGAGACTCGCTGCAGCCAGTTGGTGGCATCTTGGGAACCGCTGGGGGCTCGTTTGGTGGGATCTCTTGGGGGCTCTTGGTGGTCCCTTGAGGGGCCCAGAGTTATCCTGAGGGGGTCTCTTGGGGGTCTCTTGGGGGGTCTCTTGAGGGCCCTGCTGGGGGGGCTCAGAGTTATTTTTTTTTTGGGGGGGGGGCTCTTGAGGTTTCATTTTTCTGGTCAGTCACTTCGCAGCAGGCTTCTTCGCATACCACCTGCTCTTGGCCGAATCCATGTGGATGCGCGCCTTCTCGCGCCTCTGGTCCTTGGAGTCGCCGTCATTGTTGGGGTCGCCCTCGAAGAGCCACTTGAACAGCTCCTGGTCCGCAGGGCACCGCGTTTCTGTGATGCATAATGAACATCCTGTGTGACGGTAGCACGTCACGGTAACGCTCTTGGCAGGCCGACCCCGCTGAACCCTCATGATAATTCGGTTCTTGTACGCCACGAATCCGCTCGCACTTGGCTCCCCAAGTTGTTCCCAAGGCTGCGGAGGCTCAGCAACATCTTCGGCAAGAGGCCCATCTTCAACTCCAGCGTCGGCGCCGCCACTGGGGACATCAGCGCCGCCAGCTGCGTCCTCATACATCTTGGCAAGCGCCCCGACATGAGCAGGATGGGGTCGTCGAGGTCGATCTCGCCATCGTCTGGACGTTCGTCATGGTGGTCTTCTTGGTTGCCGCCCCAGGTGTCGAGCAGCTCTGTCATGTCGTCATCGCCGCCATGGATCTCTGCGTCCTCCTGGTCCGCCACGTCCATCTCGTCGAGAGCGACCGCGAACTCCCCGTCCAAAGCACCCAGCTGAAAGCCTTCGTCGGCACCTGCGTCGGCGGCCCCTGCCGCGCCGAGCGACGCAGCCACGGCCGCATCGCTGCCCAATGCTCCTTCGGGTCCTCCTGTAACTGCTGCTGCGATCGGGCCGCATGCACTTGTCGGATCGACTTTCCCATTGGCAGCCTTGGTCGATGCGGCGCACGATGACGACGTCTTCGCCGTGTCGCTGGATGGGTTCAGGGGGTCGTCCGTCTTCATTTTCTTGAAGGTCGAGGCGCTGGTGTCCTTTCGCTTAGCGGCCGCGCTGCCCAGTGGGACGCGCAAGCCTTCCTTCCACAAGGTGCCGAGAGCGGTCGCGGACTTCACCTCCACCCACAGAAGAGTACCGTCCACGTCGATGGGGCCCCACTCCACCTCGCAAAGCTCCATCGCCGAGAACAACTCACAGCACTCGCGGACAAACTCATCGGACGTCTGCGCGTTCACGACTTTGAACTTATCACTTATCCTTGATGCCCGCCCCTCCAAGACAGCCCGACGAGGGCAAAGTAAAGGGCGATCGCTGTCCGACGAAGCTCTGTCCCATCTGTGGCGTGCGAAATCAAACACAAGAGGTGAAAAACATGACCCGATGACTTGGACGAGTAGCCGATGATAAAGACCACCACCAGCAATGTCCGGGCCCTCCACTATCAACATAACGTCGCCAGACTCCACCTTGGTCCTGTTCAGCCTGGCAATGACGTTGCTGATGCCCTTCTCGACCAGCGTGAACTTCAACCTCCCCCCCGCGACCTTCATCGGGTTCACGTTGTGGGGTCGAGCTCCGAGGCTCCACAGATTCGTGCTCTTCGAAGGCCCGAAATCCACGAAGTAGTTTGCCTTGGCGAGGCCCTCCTCGTGGTTGGCGTCGGTGACGTCGGCATCGCTTGGCCAACCTTTAGAACCCTTGATGTGCTTGCAGAACTCGTCGCTGCTGATTGGCGAGACGAAGCTCCCGCCCCCCCACTGCTGCACGTACTTGTAGGGGCGCTCTCGTTCATGATGTTGTTGCTTCTCTCGCACCCACTCGTCGTACGCCTCGTTGTGGCAATCTTTGTCGGCGACGTTCTCCCAGAAGACATGGAATTCCTCCGTCACCTGTTTCACCTCCTCATCGGTCATCGGAGAGTCTCTCAGCGCCCTCACAGCACGCAGCCACTGGTTCTTCTCCAACAAGTAAGGGTTGAGGCCAGGTGCAAACCTGCCAGTACTATTAGTACTTGGGTTCTCGTGCGGAAGGACGTCGATGCACCCCGATACCGTTCGACAAGGTGGGAAGATTGGTCCGCCTTGGTCCCCGACAGGAACGACAGCGACGCCATCCTCGGACACCTGCGCCGCGGCGCCTGGGCCAGCTGGCAGCGCCGCCGCAGCCGATGAACCCGCCAGCTCGGGATGGACAAGGGCCGAGTCGGTGGCGGCTTGTGCCATGACGCACTCCACTGCGTCAGGGGGGTCGCACAGCAACAGTGGGCGCTCGATCTCCTCCGTGCTCGAAGTAAGTGGCTTGTTGATGGATCTCGTTGGATGACGCCCACCGTTTTAGACATGGATCGCGGCCGCTTGGCTCAGAAGGTTCCTCCTCGCCGCTTGAGTGAAATTGGTCGCTGGAGCTCGCTTAGGCACGCCATGGGTGATCTCAGAGTTCAGCCTCTCAATCACGTCAGTGCTGAAAGCGTGCGTCATGAAATCTGACCTGAGAAGGGGCTCGCACTCCTTCGACCCCAACTCCTCCTTAGTAAACAGTTTGCGGATTCCGCGGCTGTACAGGTCCAGCTCGTCGTCGTCGGCAGCCAGTAGGTGCTCGATGCAAGGCGCTTTCTGCTCTGCAGTGGTAGTACTAAGCGATAGAACGTGCATGTCGTAAGGCTTGGACGAATACTTCGTTTCGTAACGCCTGAACACACCGCCAGCCAATCTCAAAGTCTGGTTGCGAGCGAAACGCATCACGGCAGCACTCTGAACTGGGATGCCCATCATGTCGAGGACGCACCATGGGTCCCTCCGATCGCCTCCTTGCCGCCAAGCCTCCATGCTAGCGAACAGCCTCTCGGAGCACTGACCTATGAGGCTCGTGTTCTTGCACAACAGCTTGTCCAGCTTGCTCGCCTTGCCCTTCTCGCCCATCTCGCCCATCTCGCCATGCCCTGTCCGCATGGGTTTCACCAACAAGCCTTTGTTCCGCGCGTTCTTCTACTTCTACTGCCTCTTAGTTGTGGTCCAGCCGGACGTGTTGGTCCCGAAGGAAACCCGGGATCGCGTGGAGTCTGGGCTAGAGCGCGCCCCGTCGCTGCATCGAGCTATTGTGTCGCACGCGCCCTTGTTGGGCAGGCAGCCTCGCCTGGACGCGGCGCTCAGGTCGCGCGCGTGTTTTGCGGTCAGCATCTATCGACGCATTTTCCGTTCGGCGCCGGCGACTGAGGCTCGCTTGGCTGCGTGTTTGGCGTGCGATTGCACGCTCGATAACACGGAACCGCCAAGTTTTCATCGAGGATACGGTGATGCGGGATCCCATGCGCGCTGCTCTTCGACATCTCTGCGACGGCGTCACAGCCGGACACAGCGAGGCGTTGCTGGTTTTCCTCCGCGCATCTGTCCTCAGCAAACTGCATCTGATGTCGTCTGTCACTGGGTGGTTCGACGGGCACGACGGCAGGCGGCGCACGTACCCGCGCAGCTTCGGTGTTCCGATTGTTTGCAATTTCCGGATCATGGACCACCTGTTGCACGCTCTGCCGGGATGGATAGCTTCCTGCTTCGCCATCGCGGGCCAGCTGAGCAGTTTAATCAGAGTCGCGAAGATGGCGCGGGCTGGCGAGGACGACCCCGGGCTGGTGAAGCGAGCTTTCGCGGTGACGGAAGCGCTCATGCTCAGTTTGCTTACGCTGGACTTACTGGGTCGCCCCACCGTGTCACCGTCGCTGCCGTTTGCGTCCAGGGTGCACTGCCACCCGCTGAAGTTCATGCTCTCGGACATATTCTTGTTGGTCGGGTGCGCCGCGTGCAGCCACGCGGGCAGGCCCGCCGATGGCGGCGGTGACGGTCGCATCATGGGGGCGAAACCCGCCTGTTAGATGCCGCTGCCCCCAATGCGCGCTTCTCTTCCGCATCCGGTGCGAGTGCATCTTCGTGGGGCCAGCCCCGCGGGCGTTCCTCGCCGCCGCCCAGTGCATGCCCGACGGTTTCCCCCTTGCCGTGGAGACGGCGCTGCCGAAGCTCCGGCAGCTCAACGAGTGCATCAATGAATACTTCGGCAGCTCCTTCTGCTTGCATCGAGCGGCCTTCGGCCCATCCCGCCGCCGCGACCGGGTTGTAGGCCCCGGGCCTGCGGGGCGGGCGACGCGATCGAAGCGGCGCCAACGGTGCCAAGGCGGCGCTCTGCAAATTGCCGTCGGCCCCATTAGCGGGGCGCTCGCCGCTAGCGGGCTCGAAGCAAGGCGAATCGCGCTGTTCGAGGCCGCTTAGCGGAGCGGCGTTCCGTTGACGGGGGCGAAGCAATCTGGGTTGCGTCGTTCGAAGCCATTGGCCGCGGGGGGGCGCTCCGCTGATGGGGGCGAAGCAATCTGGATCGCGTCATTCGAGGCCAGTGAGTAGCGGCGCTCCACCAGATGCATGCAGCATGTTTCGCGGGCCTCTTGAAGTTTCCCCAGGGTTGAGGGCCAGGGGCTGCGGGGGCCCGGTGAACGCGCCACTTCGTGCCTCTAGGCGCGGTGGCGGATATTCCACAGCGCCTGCCTTGCACGTGGCGCTTGTTCTTGATGTACGCGCGGTCCAAATCTAAGGTGCCGCCAGATGCGCTCGCGGACTACGAGTGGAGGTCGAGGTGCCGCGTGCTCGCGGAGGCCACGATGGCGGTCGAGGCAGCGCTGATGAACAACATGTTCGGCTGGCTGTCGCGGCACGGCCTCTTTAGCGAGTGTGAGTCGCACGCGCCCCGCGCGCGGCGTCGCATCCTCCTCGCCATGGACTGGTCAATCGTCGGCGACCGAGCCGGGGCGCTGCAGGCGATGACTGCAATTGCGCAGGCTGCGCGCTGTTGAGCGGCCCAGCGCGAGGAGGAAGAGGAGGAGGAGGAGCTCCCCGCAGGGTTTCCAAAGGTCCACGGAGGCTTTCGGAGGACCAAAAAGAGACAACAAATAAACAATAACGTTTCTTCGATACTCCCCCTCCTCCTCCTCCTCGCCCCATCCCAGGACGACGATTCGCTGTCGACTTGTTTGTATTGCGAAGGCCTGACGGCCGGTGCCGCCGACCCCGTTCGCAATGCGCAGCAAGAGGCACGGGCTGTGGGATGGTTTTGGGGAACGGGAAGAAGGACGAGAAGGTGGGGGAGGGAGGTGTCGTATCTGACCCGGGACTTCCCCGGGACTCCCTCGGGACCCCCCCCCCCCGGGACCCCCTCTCCCCCCCCCGTCGGGGAAGGGAAAGGGAAGGGGCTTCCCTTCGATTCAATTACGACGTTGCTCAAGGTCGGTACGGGGGGGGGGCGTCGTATCTGACCCGGGGGGGGGTCGGTACCCCCCCTCGCTACCCCCCCCCCCTCCCGGCGGGGGAGGGATCAAAGGGAAGGGGCTTCCCTTCGACTCAATTACGAGGTTGCTCAAGGTCGGCTTGGCTGGAGCCCAGGGGAAGAGGTCTCCCAGGGAAAGGGAAGGACAGAGACGACGAGTACAAAGAATGACGGAGATGACGGCTCGAACGGAAAAGCCCTTCACACACGATTGAACAAGACCGACGGGGGGGGGCGTCGTATCTTAAACCCGGGGGGGTGTCGCGGCCCACCCCCCTACCCCCTCGCCTCCCGGCGGGGGAGGGATCAAAGGGAAGGGGCTTCCCTTCGACTCAATTACGAGGTTGCTCAAGGTCGGCTTGGCTGGAGCCCAGGGGAAGAGGAGTCCCAGGGGGGGGCGTCGTATCTGACCCGGGGGGGGGGTCGGTACCCCCCTCCCTACCCCCCCCCCCACTCCCGGCGGGGGAGGGATCAAAGGGAAGGGGCTTCCCTTCGACTCAATTACGAGGTTGCTGAAGGTCGGCTTGGCTGGAGCCCAGGGGAAGAGGAGTCCCAAGGGGGGCGGTCGTATCTGACCCGGGGGGGGGAGGAAAGGGGGTCGGCAACCCCCCCCCCTAACCCCCCCCCCCCCGCCCCGGCGGGGGAGGAATCAAAGGAAAGGGGCATCCCACGACTCAATACGAAGTGGTTGCTGAAAGGTACGGCTTTGCTGGAGCCCAGGGGAAGAGGAGTCCCCGTCAGGGTGGGCGTCGTATAGACCCGGGGGTGGGTCGGCACCCCCCCCCCCACCCCCCCCGTCCCGGCGGGGGGAAAAAAAGAAAGGAAAACAAAGGGAAGGGGCTTCCCTTCGACTCAATTACGAGGTTGCTCAAGGTCGGCTTGGCTGGAGCCCAGGGGAAGAGGAGTCCCAGGGGGGGGCGTCGTATCTGACCCGGGGGGGGGGTCGCTACCCCCCCCCCCCTCCTGGCGGGGGAGGGATCAAAAGGAAGGGGCTTCCCTTCGACTCATTACGAGGTTGCTCAAGGTCGGCTTGGCTGGAGCCCAGGGGAAGAGGAGTCCCAAGGAAAGGGAAGGACAGAGACGACGAGTACAAAGAATGACGGAGATGACGGCTCGAACGGAAAAGCCCCTCACACACGCCGACAGGGTCGGCGGATTTTTCTCGACCTCAGGCTCCGGGGGCCGATTTCGGGCCCTAGGGCCTTCGAAAACGGGTCCAGGATCATCCGCAGTTCCGGGCGTTCCCATGGAATGATTCGGCGGCTGCGGCGGGCCGGGCAAAAGAAGATGCGATGGAGGTTCGTGGAGGCGCACGGGGATCACGAGGACCAGAACGAGGAGGAGGAGGAGGAGGAAACCGCCTGTGGGATTCGTCGCCGACGTGCATCATTTCGTTGTTTTTTTTGCTCTCGGGTTCCGTGGCCTTCAAAAACAAATCCAGTGTCCGCGGCGTGTTATGGGAGCTAGTATGCAACGGCCCTGGCGCTGATTGCTTACTAGTAGTTCATCGAGCAGCCCCGGCGCTGACCCGATGGGCGTTCCCATGGCTTATGCAGAGCGGGCAGAAGAACAGGCGAAGGAGGAGGATGATGGAGGAGGCGGGGATGGGGGGGGAGGGGGGGGGGGGTGGAGGGGAAGGAAGTAGGAGAAAACCGCCCAGTCGGAAATAGAGAAAGAAAAAAAAAAATAAAAAAAAAAAATAAGAAATTAAAAAAGAGAAAAAAATGAAGAAAAAGGAAAAAAAAAAACAAAAAAAAAAAATAAAAAAAAAAACAATAAAAAAATACGGAACAAATGGTCGCGCCCGCCCGTCAAGAAGCGAGAGGCGGGCCGGCCGAGGGGGACGCACTTTGAGGTTGGGACTTCGTTCACCCTTGTACCACAAAAAAAAAAAAAAAAAAAAAAAAAAAAGTGCAGTGCCGCCCCTTCCCCATGTTGCCCCCTTAACCCTTTCCCCGTCCAGCCCGCTTATTTCGCTAACTTTTCTGCCCCCCACAGCCGCACCCCGACCCATTTTCGCTTCCTCAGCCCCTAGCGAGCCCTGATTGCATTTTCGTCTTGCACCCCATGCCTTACTCATATTATTTGCCGTTGTTGAAACGTATTACCCGTTCCCATCCTACCCCCCATAGCACTATCCCACCCACCCATCTTCACTGCCCCTTACCTTCCTAACACTATTGGCCCTCTTGCCCTTTATTTTTTTGCGCACATACCCTCTTCATTATCTTGCCCACGTGCTGTCTGGACCATCTTACCCTATTAAACCTGCTAGTAACCCTGTCGTGTTTTGTTTTGGTTCATTATCTTATTCACCTTCATACCTCAAGCTGTCTTCTTCTTACATCCACGATCCATCGAACGATCTTGCCATTGTTGGCCCTCTTATCCCAAACTTCCCACGACGGATGATTCGCGGCCAGTTTTTCGGTCTCTGAGCCGCCGGCCGGCCTTTTGCCCGAAACGCGAGCATTCGAAACGATCTGTCAGCTGGTGACATACCACCGAGAAGTTTTCTCAGTCAGTACCCAACTGCTTCAAGACGTCCACCAAGAACGGTCCTCTTAACCCTCGCAACCCCCGCGAAAAGCATTGGACAGGCCCCCCTTCACCATCCTACCTCAAT